TTTGCTATAGGACGCGTCTACTTTATCAAGCTTACCTGACTGGTAATAATACACCAACCAGGCGCTTAACGTCCACCTCTGCGCAGGTGGTGTGGCTCTGTCCCCGCCCTCCTGCTCGACCGCACCAGACGGGACAGGCGGTTCCTCCCTGTTCCTGGCCTTCTTCTCGGTTGCCGCCAGTAACCTCCCGAGCCGCATTTTATGGCTCCGGAGGACATCCACTTGATCCCGGAGGGTCTCGATCTCCTCCTCCAGGCGACGAATTTCCTCCCCTTCAACGCCCCTCTCCGACGGACGAGTGGGAGGGGCAGCATGCGCCGCCTCCATGATGTGGGCCTCAAGGTGGCGAGAGGCCATCCTGAAGCTCTTCACAGCTGTCCCCTTCAAGTTCTTGGACGCCGCCGCTGTCTTTTCCACCAGCCTGATCCCGGTGAGGGCGTCGGAGGCCCTCTCAGCCAGTGGCATCCTCCTCACGTCCCTTCCCAACTCCTCGACGGAGGGCAGCGGCAGACTGCCCGAGGATGGGGCAGGGACTTCCTGGGAGCCCATAATCGCCTGCTCCCTGTAAAACTCCTCTTCTTCTATTTTGGCCGCAAGGAACGCCTTCTTCTTCTTGGCCAGATCCACATAATCTCCGGATGTGGGTGGCCGTTCCCTCCTCTTCGTGCCTCTGGAGGACGACATCGTCACCCTCGGTGTCCTCCAGCTCCGGAGGTCCCAGCTCGCGTTGCGAGCGCAACACCGTGCCCCTTGGGGCGGCTAGAGCCGTCATGCAGGTCAGCACTACACAAGGGCCCGGTCGGGCCTCCTCGTCCTTCCCCGTCGATTTATCCTTTCCCAAGTCCTTGTCCTTATTCGCAGCCAGAGTCGTCAACAAATGTGTCCGTCCTTTTAAATTTTTTTAAAATAATTCTTCCATGTTGGTGCCACGAGTGGGTCGGTTCCGATGTCCACCCGGGCAGAGCCGCCTTACCCGGGTAAGGCTGATACGCCCGGGGGGTCGCCAGGTACCCTGGGGTTGGTCGCTAGCGACTGGTGCATCCACCAGCCGCCCCTGGCGCTTACTCCAGGGGCGCCCTCCTCACCGCGCACCGCAGCTTGGGGCTAGGGATTTTTTTATAGAGGTTGTCATCCTCGTGGGCCGGCCAATGAAGGCAAGCCCCCCGTTCCAGCGAAACATGACCACTGGCTTACGGTATAGTTTGATGCCACTGCCACCTTTTCACCTCTCCGACCAAGGCCTTGCCGGCATGGGAGCCCTGCCAGGATCCGAAGATCCCACCGGCATCACCCCGGGTCGTCTACGAGGCTACTTCGACAGCAGCGAACGCCCCGCTTTTAGCAGGGGTTACCGTGTCCCACGGTATTCAACCCCCCAGTTACAGGAGAGGTTTTGATGGGTTTCCTTCCCTTGGTGTTTGGTCCGCGGGAGCTATTTTATTTCACTCCTACCCTCCATACACTCCGAAAAGTGCATGGCGAGCATTCTCCCATCCGCCACCTGGAGACGCGCCACGTCGGGGTATCACCTCTCCGCCTAGCCAGTACACTTGGCCAGGTCCGTAGGAGCCTCTGCACCCTCACCTCATAAAATATAGCATAACCTATCCTATTTTGTATTTGAAGTTCATCGGAAATGTGGAAAATAATATTGAAATAATAAAAAAAAAAATTTTTTTTTCATTTATCTTTGACAATACGATGAAATAACGACACATCAACATATTTTTAAAGAAATTTGATATATCTCGAAAACTACGCAGCTGATAAAAAAATATCATAAAACACAAATAGTTGGAAATTTAATTTTTTACAAAAACGGTCTTTTAACATTTTGCCATATATCGCATAGTTTTCGAGATATTTGCAGATTTATATAAAACAGGAAATCTATTTTACAAGTTAAACCAGACCGATTTGGTACATATGACATTTACATTTTTATCTTAAAATGGTCCCAAGAACACAAGTGTTGCGTGAACGCGCGTAAAAAGGGTCCCCTCGTCACGCGGGGCCCGTCCGGGAGGTGCTGCCGCCACGCGTTCTTTTTCGGGAACTATTTTTCGGGAAGGCGCGACGCGTGCCGCGTAGCCATATTGCGTTTTTGTAAACGGTCAAGTCAACACCTCGCTGTGCTTCGTTACGAGTTTTCATTGTGTTTAAGCTATTTTTTAAGATCTAAAACGGTAATCTCCGAGTCCCGCGTACCTCTCATCCCTTGAGAGCCGTGCGTGACCTCAGAAACCCTCGCTCCTTCAGAGTTACGGAAGAAAACCGGTGTCGTTCGGTAACCTCGACAACGCTACGTGTCGCCTCGCGTTTGTTCTCCTCGCGGTTGGACGTGCACGGGACGTGCTCATACCCTCGTTAGTCGCCTCAGGTGAACAGTGTGAGTAATTTCGTGACAATTGTTTGGGGAACCTCGAGGGACGTGCCGAGAACAACCTTGTATATTGACCACGCGCGACACGATTCGCCCGGTGTAACGGCTTTCCTCGTTGGACGGGTCTCCTCAAGTGTTTTAAATAAACTGACGACTATTTTGTGGACAACCTCAAGCGTTTATTTTTGTGTGTGTACGGACTCCCCCGGTTTTCCTCACTCCCCTCTAAACAATAAGCATAACCTCAAAACAAGGGGCCACGGTATTTCTACATCTTTACAATGTGGTTACGGCTTCGGAACTTGTTTCCTTTAATGAGTGTTTGCGTCGCGCGATTGCATACTTGCTCGAGCGGTTGGTTTTAAATTTGGCGCTGCGCGAGGGTGTGTGGTTGGACGTTGTCACGCGATACTGCGCAGGCACGAGCGGCGTGTCGGTGGTGGTGGCGGGGTATGGCCCGGGACCGGACCCGCGCATTGAACCGTGATCAGTCAATTTGTGCGGGTGCTTTCCCAGAGTTTTTCTGAGTTTCCCGAATTTTGTATAAGAGCGAATTGTGGTTTGGATCTTAGACTGGTGGTGTTCGTTGACGGGTGCTGTGGCTGTCGGGCGTGTGTCCTATTGTTGAAGCACTAGGTGCTGTCATTTATCTGCACGGCCGGGCGATCTTGTGGGTGGTTCAAACGGCTAACTGTGCGCACAGTTCGGCGATCGGTTGATTCTGCCCACCTGGCTAGCCATGCAGTTAGTGGTTCGTTTTTACGGCCACTTTGTCCTCTTTGCCGGGACGCCTCCTGTGATCAGGGTTTGTGATTTTTTTGGTAAAGACCACGACGATTTGTTGCGACGTCGGCGAGACACCATCCGACACGATTGGTAAGAGAGCTCTCGATTGTGCGAATACATAACAGTGTGAATGATTATGCAAGTGCATGGTAGCTTTAATATCTAGTTTTAATTCACGTTTTATATTTTGTATATTTTGTTTTTATCATTTTGTGTATATATTCTTTTAGTCTAATTTGTTTGCTGGACCAGGCTTCTTCCCCACTTTCGACTGGGGTTTTTTACAGCCGGTACCCGTAGAGTAGAGTCAGTTAGGTTTTGAGTCATTAAAGTTATTTTCATTTTAACTATATATCATTTGTCTTATTTATTTACCGGTGACGCCAATTCCACCTCATGTCCTTCCTCATTTTATTGTAACTCCGAATAGTCGGAACAATGAGTCTGACTCGTGATGAGAATTTTGGGCCAAACCTGAATATCACGAATCAGGCTCATGGTCTAACTTCATGTCAAACGTGAATATCACGAGTCTGACTCGTAATCGACAGTTCGAACTAAACATAAATATCACGAATCTGAATCGTGATCGACATTTCGAACCAAACATAAATATCGCGTGAATTAACTCTGTCTCCGCCGCTTCGGCTCCTTTCCCGACCATTCGGCCGCATCGCTTGGGCTCGGATTCTTCCGAGTTAAATGGTAGTGCAATGGGTTAAGGCAAGAAAAAAGTTTTTTTTACCACTTATTTTGCAATTGTTTTAAACAAATGCAATTTTATAATAGTAGGGAAATACTGAGAAATATGAAAAGAAATGAGAATATAGTCCTATTTGTCCCCTTAAGGGACCAATTTTCAAAAATACGGACACTAAAATTGGCCATACGAAAATTAACTAAAGTTAACACTGCGTCAAGGCACGCTGGCTCGACCGGTTGAGTCGCGAGGTGTTAGTAGCGGCCAAGCGGCTATACCTGTTATTGTTATACCAGAGTGTGAGATTGCTACAAGGTCTAATGTTGCTAATAGTTATTGAAAACTCACTTTTCATCAATTATACGTATTGTTGTACACATTCAAATTGTCATTGTTCAATGGAAACCATGAGAAAGTGGTGAGTGTTCTTCCATCAGGAGGGAATGGGATGTAATTGGATTAGGTTAAGGGATAAATTAAGAGATACTAATTTGGTTGTATTGACGAGTGTATAATTATATAAATTATTGAGTATATGATTACTTAATTCATAATAGCTACAACTTTTGATTTCTCGCTATAGAATAAACTTTAGAATAGAACCGTTTCTAGACTTCAACTAGACCCAAAGTATCTTCGCCGCCATCCTTTTTATACCCAAAAATTGGAGTGAAAATCACATCATTCGCCCTGGATCGGGCAGGCCTTCCGGGTGTCTCGGTTTTCGCCGAGACGCTACTAGTCGTCCTCATCTTCTGAACCGTAGTCCTCTTCTGCGGGTGAGGTCGCTTCTCTTGCAACCACATGTCGCCTTCTCCTTCAGGGTGTGATGGACCCTCGCAAACATGGGATAGTTTTCCAAAGTGTGTTGCAGATAACTAACATAACCTAACCTAAAAGTAAAGTTAAAATAATTTTGATGAACAACATTATAAAGTTATTTCCACTTTTTGGTGAATTATACTTTTAATAAACTGTTTCTGATGATTTTTTCGAATACAATTTCTATAATTGTTGAATTACCACCTATATACATTTTTGAGTTCTTATTTATTAGAATAATTTTAGATACATAATATTTATTTAGTTCTAATATATATATTATGAACTTTCTTTCCTTTTTTGTTGCAGGCTGGATGATGAAAAGCTGGATCTAATTAATGTAAGTAATTTATTATTGATGCAATCTTAAGTACAAATACTACTCTGTTCGGCGAAAGAATAACCTTCCTAGATGATGAGTTTTTATTCTTCATGCGTATGTTAACTTGGTTTAGTTCTGCATTCTGTAATCTATAGCAAGGCGCATACGTTTTTATGACGATTATGATGCCTCCAGTATATGTCCAACGTGCAGGAAGCTTGATGCATTTGCCATGTCATAACCGGTATTCTATACGGTTCTCATTATTTGTTCATTCTTCTCCACAGTGTATATAACTACGAGGCACAGCTATTTTTAACTGTCAAAAATGAAATATTGTAACTTTACATTTCCTGACTTTTCGTTGTTAAGTGGCCGAGGGTTGTCCCAGATCGAAACTGACGCACCCCGCTAACATGCTCGGGAGGTCATTCTGAGCAAAAAATGTTATATACACCACAGATCGATTCGTCTTCGTTTTCGAGATTATGAAAGAAAAGTACGTAGTATGAATCACAGATACATAATTGTTGAAGACATAATTATTTATTCGTAACTATGTTTTACAGTTATTTACAGTACATAAAGTAATTTAAAGATATTGCTCAGAATGGTCACCTCTTGATCGTATGCGCGCAGCTAAGCGTGTTTCCATGGACTGCAGCCACTGCATCCGCTACACTCCTGAAGAGTTTGAAAGATTGCTATTAATGGCAAAAGCTGCATCTTCGATTTTTGCTATCAATTCGTTACGTGTATTAGGTTTTTGATTTAAATACACCTTCGACTTCATGGAACCCCATAAAAAAAAATCTAGAGAGGTTAGATCAGGAGACTGATGGGCCAGCCAACAGCTCCATATCTTCCAATCCGTTTACCACGAAAAGTCTCATTGAAAAATGTTGTTACGTTTCTGGTAATATGAGGAAGCGCACCGTCATGTTGTATCCACACGGGTCATCGTGTTTCTAGTGGTACATTCTCTACGTATTGGGGTAGCTAATTTTCTAAAAAATTTCTGTAGGTTGTACCAGTTAGATTACTCTCAAAGAAATGAGGTCCAGTGAGACGATTACCCAGTAATCCACACCACACATTTACAGAAAATCTGTGTTGATAGGATCGTACCGTTATGGCTCGAGGATTTTCATATGACTATATGTGAGAGTTTTTCGAATTGTTTATTCCATAGCGAGTAAAGGTGACTTCGTCTGTGAATAAAATGTTGAAAAGAATATTCAGATTTGATTGAAGCCATTCACAATATTCAACTCGACGTGCGTAATCACTAGGCAAAAGATGTTGCACTTTTTGTAGATGATAGGAATAAAGACCTTCTGAATTCAGTATTCTCCATACTTGAGTACGAGGTACACCGGCTGTCAATGAAACCCTACGCACGCTTGAAGTTGGATCTCTCTGTATCTCATTCAAGACTTGATCAGTACGTCTTCTTACATCAATACGACAGCGTTCAGTCCTCTGACGTGGAAAGGATCCAGTTCGTTTACAACAATCATAAACATTTGCAAACGTTGAGGGATGAGGAATCCTGCGATATGGATATCTGTTGGAGAAACCCCCATGTGAACGCAGCATAATGAAGATTGTCGCGAAAATACTTCGCCGGTACGCCGCACAGTGGGACAAAACGGCTTTCGGCGATCAAAATTCGATTTTCGTGAATTCGAAAATTGGAAAACTAATTACATACATCGATAGAGAATAAACTATAGTTTAACGTAGTGTAATCCGTTTTCTCATATTTGCTTTCGTTTTGCCGTGGTTTGCACTCAAAGTCAGTAGAAATTCGTCAAAACGAAACGCTGATAATATTATCCGTAACTTCAATGTACGATTCTAATGAATTTTACTCGGAAAGATACAATTCAAATGAATGATAAAGTTTACTAGGATAGTATAGATTCTATTCAGTGCATAAAGTAAGTTAAAATGTTAACAACTTTTTAAATAATAGGATCTGATTGAAACGAAGTACATTTAACTAAAATCTCAACTTTGAGCTTGATTTTTAAAAAATGCCACAACTTGCCACATGTTTAATTATTACTACAGGAAAGAGTGAACCTTCCTCTATCAGAATCTGAAAAAATCGGTTGCACTTTTTTGCACTTTCTCAAGAAAATGGCAATTGAATGAAATTACACCCATCTTGGCCGCTGCGCGCGAAGATGGAAAAGCAGTAACAGATACGGTTATTAACCAGTTAACTGCCTTATTAACTATTATTATTAGTCATTGCAGCGTGTATATTCGTCATCAAAAACTTTATTTTGGTTTAATAAAGGTGTTCAATATAACAACTATTTATAAATAATAGGATCTGATTGAAACGAAGCACCTACATTTAACTAAAATCTTAAATTTGAGCTTGATTTAAAAAAAATGCCCCAACTTGCCACATGTTTAATTATTATTGCAGGAAAGAGTGAACCTTCCTCTATCAGAATTTGAAAAAATCGGGTGCACTTTTTTGCATAATTGTCAAAACTGTTTTCTTGAATGATTTGGTATAGATCATAAGAAATATAAATAAATATATTATGATAACACATGTCTTGTCATTTTTTAATTATTATATCCATTTCTCTCAGAGTTATTAACAGTTTTAAGTCAAATTTTTGTTAAATAACATAAAATATGTCTAACAAGTGAAGGATATTCAACACGCTACAGTTTATACGTGAATATCTTGACACCCTGTAGTTCAATATGATTTATATTCATACAACTTAAGTATCATAACGTAGGCAAACACTTCCCAAAATTTCATTAAAATATTTCCAATAGAACCGAAGTTACAGAATTTTGATCGCCAAAAGCCGTTTTGTCCCACTGTGCGCCGTTGCCGATAGCGGCAGCACCTCTCGGGCCTTGTTTGTTAGCGCGGTCCCCTCTTTTCGCAGGAACCGGCACGCTTGACGCCATTACCGATTTCCTTCTTGTTCGGACGCTCAACAAGTGAACACGTGGTCCTTTATGTACACGCGATTTTCACGCTAAAAGTTTCAGTCCGCGCTATTTCTTAGTTATTAGTTGTCCGCGCAGTGTATTCGTAATTACTAGTAGTATAATATTCTCGTGAGTTCTCCAAACTGTTTGTAAACTATTGTAAATATTTTCTGAATGTTGTAAGGTTGTGTGCGACTCTTGTAAACATCTTGTTCTTTTCCTTCGTGTAATAAACTAATTTGTGACTCGTTACGCAGGTGTGTTGTAATCTGAACTCTCTGACCACGCAAAACGCAAACATTTTGGTCCTTCGAGCCGGATAACGACACGGCCCTGTTCGCGTAACGGCTTCGCAGTAACGCGCAACTGCTCGTTAACGCCGCCATTACGCTCAATGACCGCGCCCGATTCTAGTGAACTCAGAGACTCCTCGCAGAATTGTGCGCGGAAATAAAGATAGTGACTTTGCCTACTGTGAGTGAAATTTCGGTGCAAGTGATCACGCGAAGACTTTCAGACGCTCAATATGCCGAAATCGCGAGACCCTTCGCCCGCGTCGCAGGACAGCTCGGTGCGAATGGCTAAAGTGGAAGACATGATGCCGCCAACGACCTCTCGTCTCATCGTACCGGAAGTGGCCGTACAGACTGCGCAGACCGCTCGCCCGCCCTCGCCGGCTACGCCCTTGCTGGTGCCGCTAACGGGAGAGACCCCCCAGCCGACGCAGATCACTCGCACGCGCGCCCATGCGTCTGACATCCGACCTCCAAGTTTGTGCCCGGGTCCAGGAAGAGCGCCTGGACACACTTTTGGCGATCGTGGAGGACCTCCAGGCAATCATGACCAAGGACCCCGCTGAGACTGACTCCGATAAGCCTGACATCGTGCGCGTCACAATCAACGTGGTGCACACGTTGTTCCAGCAGCTCGAAAAAAGAGTGAAACCAGCAGCTCAGCCCTCTCAGACTCCACCAGCTCTTCAGACCGCGCAGCCCCCGACAAGACGATCGCGACTATCGGAGATAGCCCTTCCGAAGTTTGAAGGGGAATAGATGGCCAGAGTTCAAGGCCATCTTCTCGTCGGTCACCAGCGAGCGCTCAGACCTCTCAGACCTGAATAAATTCCACTACCTGAAGGGCGCAGTGTCGGGCAGTGCTGCCAAGCTGATCAGCCACTTGCCAAGCATTTGCCCAGGCGTGGCAGTTGTTGAACAGCCGCTATGAAAATAAGGCTTAACATGCAGTCGCACATGGATCGTCTGTTCAACTTAAAGCTGATGAAGCAGCGGAAGGCAGCATCGTTAATCAAGAAATGCAGCAAGAGCTGAAGTCGTTTGGGCTGGAGGACCTCCGTAGCTGCTATATACTCAGTTCTCTCGTCCGGTTACTCGACCCGGACACGAGGGAGCATTGGGAGCCCTCCTTCGTCACGCAGAAGGAATTCCCGACGATCGAGCAGTTGACGACGTTCCTATTGGGCCGAGCGGGCACCTTGGAGCAGCTCGAACGACTCAGTCAAGCGCGGCCATCGCAGCCCACTCAGGTGCCAACAATTCGATTAACGCAGCCAGCACAGCAGAGGTCAGCACCTCCTCGAGCGACCTCGCATGGAGCGACATCGACGGCTCCGGCCAGTGCAGCACCACTCAGGACCAAGACGGCAGCTGCATAACTGTGCGCCTTCTGTAATAAGGATCACTACGTATCCGCTTGCCCGATCTTCGGCCTCCTTAAGGTGGAAGAGCGGGTACAGGTGATCAAGGCGCACGGGCTCTGCATAAATTGTTTGGGCCACCATAATCTACGCAGTTGTCGGACCGCTCAGCGCTGCAAACTGTACAGTGAACAGCGTTACTCGATGCTGCACGGAAGTGACCTGTGCCAGGTGGTGGTCCCGGGCTTCCAACCACCAACAAAGTCCACGTCAACCTCGTCGCAGTCGGCAGCAACGCCCACGCAGACCACTCCAGCCCCTTCAGCCGCAAATTGAAGACGCGACGTAGTCGTCAACGCCCTCTCAGTCCACGCCTTCAAGGACCGCTCAG